TGAGCCTTATGTCTCTTTAAATAAAACATAAGTGAAATTATTTTCTTAAGTGCAAAAATTGTGTATATATTCTTGACTAAACTCCAGAAATAATGAACATATTTAAGCCAACCACAACACAATTATCAATTTTCCGTTTTCAACGGAGAGATAGACGGCAAGGGAACAAGAAATCGATCATATCCTACACTACACAGTAATAATTCAACGAACATAATTGATGAAAATGTGCAATTCTGCATCAATGCATAGGCAGGCATTAAAAATATCTAACTGTATGTACCATAAAAAGAGAAGGAAAAAGAAAAGAGACACTCTCCTGTAGTCCTAATTTGATTCTTGGGACAAGAGTCACAAGACGACAAGTGTTGTAATCACATCCTCATCAAAATTCAAACCTCAACGACTCACGAGTTACTCTCTTTTTTCCCCCCTTCCTTACACAGACAAGACATACACAAGTGAATCCTGTCATTGTCATCTTTTATATACCCATTTACAACTTGGATCCAACCCATTTGGCATCTTTCTTTATTCGCACATCCTTTTCTCTACACTTGTCAACCATCTCTTCCATTTTCAAATTTTATCCAAATATTTTTATATAATACTAGTACCAAATATATAGTTAAAAAGCAGAAAGAAAAGAGAATAATTTTAATTGAAATGCAGTACCTAACTAGGAGAAACGAGCACAATCCACCCCTTTCTTCACTCTATTTAACTACTTTTCTCTGCCCAAATTCATCCCTTTCTTCACTCTATTTAACTACTTTTCTCTGCCCAAATTCACCCCTTTAGACGTTCACGGACTATTCGAGGCCTCGGGGTAGCACTAATCTGCTTTATGTTGCGAGAAACTATACAAAGGAACAAGAAGATTGTTAATGTGGACACATTAACCCATAATCGAGAAAGAAGTGAGAGAAATATGAAATCTAATTTGAGAGAAAGAGTGAGAAAAGAGAAGTGTAAAAATATCTGAAGAAAAAAATGAATTCTCTTTTTTCTTATTATTGGAAACTTCTAGCTATATATGTCTAATATATCAAAATAAAAATAGAGCTGGATCACTTAATACAACTGGGTCAGTCACTATACAAATGGGCCGGGTATGTCTTCAAATCAAATACTAAGATGGTTGAGGCCCAATATTGTCAACCCCCCCCCCCCCTCCCCCAAAAGTTGCAGGTGTAGACACTTCAAGCTTGCACAGAAAGTGATGATGTAGAGGACCAGGGAGATGCTTGGTCAACATATCTGCAAGCCGAGCAGAACTGGAGACAAAAAGCAAGGAAATTAGACCTGAATGTAGACTATCACAGACAAAGTGACAATCAACTTCAATATGTTTCATGCGTTCATGAAAATACAAGGTTCTTGGCAATATGTAAAGCTGCCTGGTTGTCACGGAAAAGAAAAACAGACCCAAAAATATGTAACCCAAGATCACCAAGTAATCGCACCAGCCAAGAAATCTCAGTTACAGTCATTCTCAATGTCATATATTCAGCTTCAGCCGAAGAAAGTGCCACAGTAGGCTGTTTCTTACTCTTCCAGGAAATAGGACTACCCCCAAGAGTAATGTAAAAACCTGAACAGATCTTCGAGAGATAGCACAAGCAGCCCAATCTGAATCTGAGTATGCTAAAAGGGATAAATCAGAACTGGCAGATAGAAGAATACCCTGGTCAGGGGCATTCATGAGATATCTCAACACATGAAGAGTTGCTAACATATGGGCAATATGTGGAGCTTGTAAGAATTGACTGAGATGTTGGACAGAAAAAGAAATGTCAGGCCTGGTGTGTTCAAGAAAATTTAGCTTACCAACCAATCTCATATAGGTGCTAGGATCAGAAATGGGATTTCCCATATCAATAACCAATTTCACACTAGGATACAAAGGGGTGGAAATAAGAGTGAAATTTTTACAATGGAATTCTTCTAGGAGGTCAGAAGTGTACTTCTGTTGGTACATAAGATAGCCCTGTGGATGAGGAGTAATTTCTAAACCCAGGAAGTAATGAACATTCCCAAGATCCTTTATCTTGAAAGTGTCATCCAGGAAAGACTTCAGAGAATTCAATTCACCCACATCATCACTAGCTAGTAAAATATCAGCCACATAGACAACAATCACCACCAAGGTGGAACCAGAAGACTTAGTGAAGAGAGAATAGTCATTCTTACTGGAAGTATATCCTCTGGAGAGCAAATACTCAGATAATTTGGCAAATCATTGTCTGGATGCTTGCTTGAGTCTATAAAGTGATTTTTTGAGTTTGCAAACTAAGGGAAGGGAAGAGGAAGGTGCAGAAACCATAAGACCAGGAGGCATCTTCATGTAAACCTCCTCATGGAGATCACCATGCAAAAATGCATTATTAACATCCAGTTGGAAAACAGTCCAGCCTCTCTTAATAGCCTAGGTAAGTAAGCATCTAATTGTGGTAAGTTTGACAACAGGTGAAAAAGTCTCAGTATAGTCTATCCCTTCTTTCTGAGTATCTCCCCTAATCACTAATCTTGCTTTATATCTTTCAATAGTGCCATCAGACTTTTGTTTTATCTTATACACCCATTTACAAGGTATTGGTTTCTTATAAAGAGGAAGGGGAACAATATCCTAAGTTTGGTTTGCATCAAGGACCTGAAACTCTTTAGTCATGGCCTCTTGCCAAGCAGGATTAGAGACAGCTTGTTGGTAAAATTGAGGTTCATGCATATGCAAATCAACAGTAGACACCTTGGAGGTTAAAGGAGCAGGAATATGAGAAGGGATGACAGAGTTGCAAACATAATCCATAAGGTAAGCTGGAGGAATAACTGTTCTGCTAGACTTCCTAATTTCAGGAACTAGAGGGCATGAATGAAGAGACTGAGAAGAGGTGATGAAAAGAGAAGGAGGAACAACAGAAGTGATGGAAGTGGGGGAAAGTGTAAAATCAACAGGAATAGGTGAATAAGTGTTCACATTAGAGGGAAGAGGAAGATCAACAAAATCAGGTGGAGGAGGAAAAGCAAGGGAAGAAGAAGAATGGTAAGGGAATATGTGCTCATGAAAGACCACATCCCTAGAGAAGAAAACAGAATAATTAGACAAATTTAATAATTTGAACCCTTTTTACCACAAGGATATCCCAAGAATATAACAGAAATGGACCTGGACTGAAATTTATCTCTACCAGGTCTAGGGCAGACATCATAACAAAAGTAGCCAAAAAGATTTCAAGTGGTCATAAGTAGGAACAGTACCATGTAATTTTTCAAAGGGAGAGATATTGTGTAGAACAGTTGAAGGAATATTATTGATAAGGTATGTGGCAGTGAGAACACACTCACCCCAAAACTTGAGGGGAATCTTGCACTGAAAAAGGAGGGCTCTAGACACGTCTAATAAGTGTTTATATTTTCTTTCAACTATCCCATTTTGTTGTGGAGTGTGTGAAATTGTAGTTTGGTGAAGAATCCCATTATCAGTGAAGAATTATTGAGAGGCAATACTACTGCCTAATTCATATGAATTATCAGACCTGAAACATTGAATAGTAGACTTAAATTGCACTTTGATTAGTTGGAAGAAAGCTTTAAGGATTGAAATAGCATTACTTTTACAAGATAAGAGACGAGTCCAAGTCACTCTAGTAAAATCATCAACTAGAGTCAGAAAATATCTAAAGCCATCGTAAGTGGAGGTATTGTAGGGACCCCAAATATCAATGTGAACAAGTTGAAAAGGAACAGATGAATGGATAGTACTATCATAAAATGGTAATCTCTGTTGTCTAGCCATAGGACAAACAATGCATAAGAATGGTTGCTTAGATGAAATTTTATCAAACAAGAAAGAAATAGATTTCATTCTAGCAAAAGGAATATGACCCAACCTTTGATGCCAAAATAAATCACTTTTATTAGCAACAATAGGTGGATTACAGGTGGAACTATGAATTACAGAAGGTTTAGAAGAATTGAAAACAGGAGCAGATTCATTACTATGAACAGAATTAGAAACACAACAAGGAACATGAGTAGAGAGTTGTGGATCAGCTGAATGCAAGACGTACATTCCATTTGCAGCCTTACCAATTTCCAGAGACCTCCTTAGAGAAAGGCCCTGTAAAATACAAGTAGAAGTGCTAAAGACTGCAAGACATTGAAACTGAAGAAGCAACTTGTGCACAGAAATCAAGCTGAAAAGAAAAGAAGGAACTAAAAGAACATTATGTAATATCATATCTGTTCTAAGGACTAAAGATCCAGTAGATATAACTTTAACTTTATATCCATTTGGTAAAGTTATCAGAAAACGAGAAATTAATGGCTGAAGATTGTGTAGAAGATGTTTATATGGTGTCATGTGATTGGTGGCACCAGAATCTATGATCCATGGGTTTAAACCTAAAGTTGAAATAGCACATGCATGCAAAGAACTAGAATGTACTTCAGGGTGATTGTACACATCTGCAAAATTTGCAAACCAATATTGTCAATAGCATTATTCTCATGGTGGAAGACATGATAGGTGTGAATTTGTTGGAACAAATTCATAAGGTGTTGATACTATTCTTTACTGAACCCATAACCAGGAACTTCAAAAGAACCATGGCTGGAAGGGACAAAATCTGGAAGAAGAGCCTCAGACTGAACACATGCATCAGACCTCTTATTCTTGGTAAATTTGAAGTTAGGAGGAAAGCCATGAAGCTTGTAGCACTTATCAACAGTGTGCCCAGTCTTCTTACAATACTTACAAGAAAGATTTGAGGTGAAAGTAGAACCTCTTTTTGAGTCAAACTGTACCCTTTGATGGAAAGCCCTATGATTATTCATATGCCCAGTTGAAACATTGAAAGAAGTAGAATCATTAGAGAAACTGGGAAGAGGAGCAGAAGTTTCTTTTTGTTTCTCATCATGTTGAAGCATGGTAGCTTTGCTCAAAGAAGGGAGAGATGACATCATCAGAATATTGCTTTTGCATGTAGAATAGGACTCGTTTAACCCACTAAGAAATTGATAGATTTTATATTCTTCAATGAATTTAGGCAAAGCTCCACAAGAACAAACGGTCCTACATATGCAGTACTAAGTTCATCCCAAAGACCCCTTAGTTTGGTGAAATAAGTGGCAATGTCCAAAGACCCCTGAGATGTAGCACTAACTTCCCTCTGAATTTGAATATATTTGGAGCCATTTGAGGTACCAAACCTTTCATTAATATTAGCCCACATATCCTTGGCATTATCAAAACACATCACACTATTGGCTATATCTCTAGACAATGAATTGGTGATCCATGCAATGACCATGTCATTACATCGTTCCCAGAACTGATAATATAGGGAATGAAATTGGGGCTTTGGGACTCTACCAGTTATAAGACCTAACTTGTTTTTAGCAGATAACGCAGTCAACATGTTTTTACGCCAAATAACGAAACCACTACCATCAAAAGGTGGGGATACCAGGTGACTACCTGGACTATCCGAGGGATGAACATAAAATAGGTGGGAAGGAGGAACAGTAAAGTCATCAAACCTATCAGCAGTAGAGGTTGAGCTAACATTAGGACTACCCATGGTAAAGAACCCTAATTAGATATATTTCACAAAGTGTAAACAACTGACATAATTTGTCAACACTGAGCGTGAACAAAGGTTAATAAAAGAGATTACCGTCCTTCTTTGCAACCTAAAGAAGCAAGGCCTTGAAATTAACCCAAAAACACAGCAACATACATCCAATCGGTAGACCTCGAACCACCAGAGAACGCAGATCTCGAACCACCAACAATTTTACCTCAATCGATAGAGCGGAGCTAGAATCGATCGATCTAGGCTCTGATACCATATTAATGTGGACAGATTAACCCATAATCGAGAAAGAAGTGAGAGAAATATGAAATCTAATCTGAGAGAAAGAGAGAGAAAAGAGAAGCGTAAAAATATCTGAAGAAAGAAATGAATTCTCTTTTTTCTTATTATTGAAAACTTCTAGTTACATATGTCTAATATATCAAAATGAAAATAGAGTTGGGTCACTTAATACAACTGGGCCAGTCACTATACAAATGGGTCAGGTATGTGTTCAAATCAAATGCTAGTGTGGCTGAGGCCCAATATTGTCAACAAAGATAGCGATTTCGCACTCACATTTTACTCTCATATTTCTGTCTAACTACCATTAGTTTTTCCTTTGATGCCAACTAGTTAAGAACTAAAATCCTGAGTAAAATTCACTTTACCCCCTTAACCTTTAAGGATTGGAAAATAATACCCCTCACGTTTTGAATGGAAAAGGAAACCCTTTATGTAATTATTTTCTGGTGAGAATTTCTTTTTTTGACTAAAGATTTTTTTTTCTTTCTCTATCCTTTCAAAGGTGAAGTATAATATTTTTCATCCAAACAAAAGCTTAAGTTTTGTCTTTCTTCCTTGCAAAATTTAAAATATGTTTATTATATTTATGTTATGTTGAGGTCATTGTTAAAATTTCTGCAATAAAGAAAAAAAATTGTATACAAAATTCAAGAAATATGTTGAACGCACATCCACCATGGATGCTTTAGCATTTCAATTAGATGGGAAAAAATATATTGAATTAGTCAACTACATGAAAGAATTAGTGCTATAAGTATTAATTTATTTATATATTTTTTGTATATTAAAATTATTATGCTAAAGCAATTATTGAACTTTACTTATTTCAAAAATATCTTTATTGACAAGGTCACATTTGAAAATTCATTAGGGAGTTGTATTTGCATCACATCAGAACTTAAACTATGTCGGAAGAAGCTAAAGGGGCACTCCGAAAATTATATAGATCCTAATTGTTGTCATATGTAGAGCTTTTGGCTATAATGACCGAACTCAGTTATTCTAAAAATTATTTATTCAAAAAAAAAAGATTTTTATTCAAAAGAAAAAAAAGTTTCACTGGAAAGCTATTGCACAATGGGGTTTCCTTTCCCATTCAAAAGGTGAGGGGTTATCATTGCCCAACCATTAAAAGTTAAGGGGGTAAGGTGGATTTTACTCTAAAATCCTATATAAATTCACAGCAACTTAAACGCATTAATATAATCCCATCTTCCTTTGAAAGAGAGTAATAGGATATGCCATCAAAACTATTAGTACTAATAAGATACATATTCACTCTACTTTCTACCTTTCTCTACTCAACCCACATTCACATCATAAAAGGGAAAGAAGCAATATCGAAGAAGTTGACAAAGAACGACAGCTACTTCACGGAAGAATAATAACTTCTCTACGCTTGTAAAGCATCGGCGATTTAACTATTAATAATAATCAGTAGGTTAAAGCAAAAGAGGGTTTTGACAATAAAACTGGCCCTCGTCTGAAGAGGGCCTAAAATCTCAACAATATAACCCTTCATTATACACCCTTTAACATGCTATCATAAAAGCATATTTTGATAACCAAATCAATGACCAATAGCACATGTCTCTCTCTTTCGAGAACCAGAGAATCCAGATACAGAATACAGCTACCAAAGCCAAAAGGAATAACATCCAGAAAAGGATAGCACTCATTTAAAGTTAAAAAGTTGTAACAAACACGGCCAACTTGCCTCTATTAAACCACCTCAATGTATCGTCAGTTGCTTTATGTAGAATCCTCCGCAGATTTTGGTTCATCTTTTGACTTCAGTGCGGCCGAAGGCGATAGAGAACCTTCTTGGCCCATTTCAGTTCTCAAATCGTTGATGCTCTGCTCCAATTCATCAATCCGGTTCCCCATCTCATCAAGTGCAGCATAGTCAAGGACTAAACAGACTTTCTCCAAGTTGATCTCACAAAATATAGATGCTATGTATAATATACTAGAGATAACAACGATAAACACAGACACATTTAGACAAATTTGACAGGGCACTATCCCATGTGGAAATATTCACCAAAAACAAAATAGATGACAGAAACCAAAAGTGATAAAAAAAAAATCTATACACTGATACACATAACCTGCCTTTTATGCCATAAGACATTGAAATTATTTCAACCCTATCTTGATGTATCTAGGGAAATATCTCTATCATAAATTTCATGAAACTAAAGAAGGCTAAATTCTGGTTGAGGAGTACCCGAAGTCATACAACCAAATCTTGATGTTACTAGTGCAATATCTCTTTCATAGAATTTCATGAAACTGAAGAAGGTTAAATTCTGGTTGATTACCAGAAGTCATACAACTAAATCTTGATGTTACTAGATCAATATCCCTGTCATAAATTTCCTTGAACAACAAAGAAGGCTAAATTCATTTTTGATAACCAGAGGCAATACTAGCTTTAAAAATTAGGAGAAATGGAGCTGGAGTATGAAATGTTGACCCCCTTGAGCCTCACAACTACGCACATTTATGGATTCTTGAAATCAAGAGCTATATGACATGCTAATACAACCTGCTTCACTAGTTAGATGACACCTGTGCAGCGACTGATTAACGTAGATTAAGACCAAGAATCAAATTAGTTACTGGATAATAACGAACAACAAATAGGAAAAGGATATTTTTTGAGATGATTGATTCAGACATTGTCTGAAACCTGGTTTGCTGCAAAGAGAAAACAATATCAATTAGAAGATAAATCTAATAAAAACTAGGGAAGACTCCTACTGGTGCAGAGAGAGCAGGCTCACCATTTGCTGAAGAAGATTCTGGACCTGCAAGAGCAGAAAGCAGGTAAGGAAAAGTTAGCTAGCAAAATGGATGTGATTATTCGTGATGTCACATATGAGGTTAGTTCTAACAGCCCAACGCTATATAATGTTACCATCTCAAAAACAAAACAAAAAAAACACAAAGCTATATAAGGCCAATAAAGAGATGGCAGGTACCTAGTGTCTCATATGTCAGCCAGCAAGAATTGCATCAATATGTCGATAAGGTAGCTTGGTATCCAGACATAAATAATTATGATCCTCATTGTGTACATAAGAAATTGGGTGGGTATAGGGCATATAACAAAAAGGTTTCCTCAGTCATAAAATAATTTGCCTTAGATGTCATGGTCCTGACATCACGGAACCACATTTATTTTAGATAGTTCTTTAAGGGACAGGCTAGCATGTTAGAATTACATTGATGATGAAAAGATCACATTGACAAAAAATATTACATTGGAACCAAATGAATCCTTGGAATCTAACTTTTACAAGGAATCACGCTTCAGTAACTCAGCCGTTAGCATATTGAGATGGACTAGAAACCTTTCCAGAATACCATTTAAGTAAATAGTGGAGTGAAGATTCAGTGTTTACATCAACTGAAAAAATCCAGAGAAGTATTCATCATAAAAACTTACAAATACAGTCATATCAGCAGTGCTTTGTTTCGTATTATCTGCATCATGCCCGTCCTGCAAAATGACCCAGAAACTACGGGTCAGAAGGGGGCAGAAGAAAAGCAGAAAGGTATAAATTAATTGAATTTGCAACCTCCATATCGCAAAGTCCTTTCAAAATCCAGAAATCTGTATCTCTTATATTTCCACAATGACTAGCTTTCAGCAAGAAGACCAATCAGAAGTTCTCAGAACACAATATACCTTAACTCTCCCATTCTTAATTAATCAATCAGATCTTTTAACACGCTAACATACAAAGATGTATGGTGACAACAACAACAACAACCCAGTAAAATCCCACCAGTGAGGTCTGGGAAGGGTAGAGTGTACGCATACCTTACCCCTACCCCGGAGGGGTAGAGAGGCTATTTCCGGGAGACCCTCGGCTCAGAGACCAAAGATGTACAGTGAAGAATTTGTAATTTCAATTTCCCACAGATAATGCTGATGAAGGCATAATAATTTGGTAGTATTAGGAAGTTTAATAGGAGAGCTCGGAATTGTCTTATGTCTAACAGAAATGCAAAGGAAAAAACAATTAGCAATATGTGTTCTTGTACCTGTTTTCACACAAAACTGTACTTTATGTAGCTCTTAATGATGTCTACAGAATAGCTATTCTAGAAACCCTTTCATAAGTAAATCAAAATTTGGTTATAGGCAGCTCTTGACAAACCATGTTGTTTATGCCGATTGTAGTACTATTTTAAATGCACTAAGCAGCAATGAATTGTATATTCAGATTAATGGTCGCACTACTTACTCAGTTTAGTTCTTCAACTTAACTCAGTTTAATTCAGAATAATGGTCGCACTAAAAAGTTCGCCATGATACTTGTTTTCAAAGTGCACAAAGCTTGAGCTTATGATGAACTCACAAAAATCCAAGTGAATTGGCAAGGATGCAAAATAAGGACATAAAAGAAGGAAGTAGATTGTAGACCCCAAACAACAAACTATCACCACAACAAAGGTGCCTTTTTCTTTTGCAAGTTCCTTAAACAAAAGCAAGTATCCATATTTCGTTCGCACAAAGAAAACTATCATATCCCTCTCCCTAAGTGTATTCTTTCCCACTACCTCTTGCACGATGTCCCCACCTAACGAAGGTCATCACTTGTTTCACATAACTGTATAATTATAAGCCAAACGCTATAGAACAGTAGAGTAGTTTTTATTTGTATTAACCAAGCAATGCATGCGTG